AGCATTTCAGAGAGGCCAATGAGTGTGCAATTTTTGCCCTTGAGGGGTGGTGGGCTTTCCGATTCTCAAAAATAGTAGCACTCTGGCCCACAAGCGCTGAGCTACTACACCCAGGTGCCTCTCTAGTGGGCCCAGTTACATGCCCATTATCCTTTGAATCTAGTTTAAAGCTCTCTCAACAAGCCCTGATAACTCTAGTCCTAGAACCCTTTTCCCCCTGCAAGGTAGGCCTTTCCCATCTGCTACCAGCAGGCCTGGTGTTCTGTAAATCAGGCCATGGTCGAAGAACCCGAAGCCCTGCCAGTAGCACCAGGCTTGGAGCCAGTCATTGATCTGTTGGCTCTTCCCGTTTACCCCCCATCGTTCCCCGCAACCTATGTTCCAACTTGTATCCATTGCCTCTTGTCCTATTACTGTGCAGCTCTGAGAAGAGTCTTCACTGTATCCTCCCATTAGGCAGCTGTAGATAAGCAATAAGGTTTCTCTGACCCTTCTCTTATCTAGACAGAACAAATACAGCTCTCTCAACCTTTTCTTCTATGTCATGTGCTCCAGTCCCCTTAGCATCTTGGTGGCCCACCTCTGGACTTGGTCCAGTATGTCAATATCAATGCACAGCAATAATGATGAAAAAAGAGATGGAAAGGATCTTCTCCAACACCCTGCAGAAGCAAGAGCCTGAACCCCTACCTGCACAGAAAGAGCAACCAGAGTCTGTACTCATTGGGGTGGCAAACGGAGACTCCCATGATGGCAAAGGCTAGAAGCTTGTGGCATCTGGCAGCAGAAGGAAGGCTCCTGCTCCACCTGCAGATCTGCAACTACAGAATAGGTGCAGTGCCCTGGTAGCAGATGAGGGACTGGAAGTTCTGTCTGAGGAAACATTGGAGCCAGCCGAGACTGAACCATGCAGCAGCATCAGGAGGAAGGTAGTAGTGGATTACTCCCTCCTGCGGGGGACAGAAGCCCCCATCTACACTCTAGGGAGGTTTGCTGCTTGCCGGGGGCTCGGATGTGGAGTCTCCCACTCTGGAGACATTCAAACCCTGCCTGGACGCTGTCCTGTGCAACCTGTTGTAGGTGACCCTGCTCTGGTGGGGGGGTTGGACTAGATGATCTCCAGAGGTCCCTTCCAACCCTGACCAGTCTGTGATTCTGTGATGGGAAATTCTGATATTAGGAAAAATGTTTTTTACCATGAGGGTGGTCAAATACTAGAACTGGTTGCCCAGTGAGGCCATATAATCTGCATCTTTGGATATGTTCAAGACTTGAGTGGACAAGTCCTTGAGCAACCTGACTTTCTTTGTGTAGGGGTTAGACCATGTGACCTTCGGAGTTCTCTTCCAACCTAAATTATTCTATGATTCTAACCTTTTTTAACATGGTCTTTATCAAAAACATACATGTCAAGAGAACCTGGAAGCAAATGAGCCAGGACTTGCTGCCAAGAGATCTTTAAAGTCTAATTTTTTTTTTTGTGGAAATTACTGGCATAGTGTTTCAACAATTAAGAACTGGGTACTGGTATCCCTGAAGTATCAGTTTAAGCATTTTATGCAAATATAATGTGTTGCTGGATTATAAGAATTGTGTTAAAGGTTACACGGGAAGTTTTTGAAAAGCAAAATATTGGTAATTTATTAGTAAACTTAAAATTTTGTTAGGACAAGGTTCATTTAAATTGCTGACAAAAAAAAATTGAGTGGACAGATGCCAATAATCTAATTGCAAGTGCGATAAGAAAACATACCCCCCATAAAATCAGAGGTAGATTAAGGCTAATTGGAAATCATTCCTAGCCTAATACTTGAATGAGCCATAATAACAGAGGAGTTTAAATGCTTTACATTAGAGAAAGTTTGTTAATATTTCCCTTATTTGAAAGGGAATAAAAAGAAAGAGGAGATAAATTAAAACTGAGAAATGGTACTGTAACAAATAATAATAAAAGACAGATATGAAAACATCAGGGACCTCTGTAGGGAACTTTTGATAATCATAGAATCATAGAACAGCCCAGGTTGGAAGGGACCTCTAAAGATCATCTGGTCCAATCTTTCATGGGAAAGGGAGCCTAGATGAGATTATCTACCACTCTGTCCAATCGTATCTTTAAAACTTCCAGTGATGGGGACTCTACCAAGTCCCTGGAGAAGTTGTTCCAGTGAATGATTGCTCTTACTGTAAAAAACATCTTTCTTATGTTGAGATGAAACCTCTCCCGGTTCAATTTGTACCTGTTGCTCTTTGTCTTCTCCACATGACATAATGTCTCATGCCATTGCAGTTAGGCAAAGGTGTCAATCCCGTCCCTAATTTAGCAAGAACTAGTGTACAGTTATCAAGAAATAAACAAGAATCCTGCATGTGACCACCATAATTCTTCCTTATGTGATGGGAAAGAAAAAAGAAAAAAAACTCTTGTTACAACAGGAATAAAAGCTTTCTGAAGAACCAGCAATCATTTCTACCATGTTCAGTCATTGTCCAAGGACTGGAAGTTTTGTGAAAGAAAGGATCCTTTATCTTGGTATGATGTTAATGAAAATAATGGAAATCCATCTTCAAAATTCTCCTAACCATTCTCTGCTTTAGCTGAATGCTTCTTTTCAAAGCACAAAACTACTTTAAATCAGATAAAAACTTTCTTGCTTTGACATTAGTCACTTAGCAGGGCTTCACCATCAGTCAAGGACAAGACTGGAATCCAGAAGATTCTAATTACCATACAGCTATAAAAGCGACTTTAAACTGCCATTCTGGAGAGGAAATATCCCTTGAAGTAAGAAGCAGTCCCTTAGGCTGGGGGACTATGGGAAGAGTTTTAAGCTGGTTAAGTTCCTTCTAAAGCATGTTATTTCTATAGCTGATTAGATTTGTCTTAGAAACTGCTTAGTTTTTGAGAACATATAGCTTTTGGAAACAAGATATGATACAATAGTTTCATTGCAGCATATATGAAGAAGATAAAAATTTACCCATTGATGACACCATTTGAGTAGCCTAAATATTCAGCAAAGGATTCCTGCAGAATTATAAGCAATAAACAGAATATTAGACACAGTCTATACAGTGGCCAAAATTATGCATCCCTATATGAAGAAATTATACAAATGGGGTTTGAGTCCTATTATACTCATACACTTGGAATTTGCCTTGTACTCTAATGTTTTCCTGTGACTGCTTTATTTAAAATGCACGGCTTGTAGGAATAATTTCCCTCTGTACGCTTTTTACCAGATTACAAATACAGTAGAACCTAATTAATTTGCACTGGTTACTGGGAGACCCATTTGCAAAATACTGAATTTCATGAGTTAATAAGCAAGTGAGCAAACAATAAAAACCACAATAATACACTACAGGAGATACTTGTTGATTTCTTTGTATATTGTAGCTACATTTTAGTTAGCTTTAGCTCAGTAATGAGAAATGCTACACAGTAAACAAATCTTTGCTGAAAAAAAGGAGGGGTATGGACGGGGGGCAATTTTTGATAGATATTCTAAAGGATTAGCAGTCTCCTAGATAACAAGGTTCTACTATATTGTAGTTTAACCCAGCAGGCAGCCAAACACCATGCAGCTGCTCACTCACTCCTCCTCCCGCCCCAGTGGGATGGGGGAGAGAATCAGGGGAAAAAAAGTAAAATTTGTGAGTTGAGATAAAACCAGTTTAATAGGACAGCAAAGGAAGAGAAAATAATAACAATAATAATGATAAAAGAATACACAAAACAAGTGATGTACAATGCAATTGTTCACCACCCACTGAGTGATGCCCAGCCTGTTCCCAAGCAGCGATTGCCGATTCCTGCCCCCCGGCCAACCCCCATTTATATACCAAGCATGATGTCTATGGTATGGAATATTCCTTTGGCCAGCTTGGGTCAGTTGTCCTGTCTATGCTCCCTCTCAGCTTCTACAGGAAGCCGAAAAAGTCCTTGACTGCTTAGCAACAATTAAAAACATTAGTGTGTTATCAACATTATTCTCATCCTAAGTCCAAAAACATAGCACCATACCAGCTGCTAGTAAGAAAGTTAACTCTATCCCAGCTGAAACCAATACATATATGTTCTACTGTATGGCATTTTAAACTGGTATCTCTATTTTAAAATTTAGTTTTATTTTAAGCACAGGTAGTGGCAAGTTGATATGAAATATCTTAAGCTCAGAAAACTATATTTTTTAAAGATAGTTCCTCAAAAAGAACAAATGCTGTAAAAGTGAATTAAAGGCTGCGGATAAAAATCTGGTGATTGCTCCATTTCTTCACTAATACAGAGGAATGGAATGGAATGCTTCTCAAATGTGTTCTTTTCAGCACAAGTGTTGTAGCCAAAGATGTTCCCTCCCACACTAGCAGTTTTTGACTATGTTAGCCACCTGAATAAAAGAGGCCCCCAAAATCAAATATGACAGACTTACCTCAATATGTTGAAACATATATGGGTGATTGCATATCTTTCTCAATTGCATGATTGTGTTCATAAGAGTTTTTGCCCCACCTTTTCCCTAGGGAAGCAAGCAACACAAATAATATGAAACCCATTTCCTAGCTTGTTAATGAAACTTTTGGAACTCAATTTCAAAAGGAGACATAAAAATACTTCTACCCCAAAGCAGAACACCATATCACCACGAAATAAAAATGAAATAAGGTGCAGTTATCTGGCTGCTCAAATTAAAATATCATGAGGATGATATCAAAGACTTCCAAGTAACCTGGAAAGTGTATTACATCTCATATCTGTCTATAGCAGTCACAATAAGCACTTACTGCTTATTTCTACTGCTCATTTATGAAACCATGTAAACTGTAAACAGCAAAATATTATCAGGTGTTCCACTAAGCTGGGATGGTTACAATCTAATAAGCACTGATGAATACATTTGGTTACACTATATTAAGATTGCTTAACACTTCTCTAATACTTCTCACTTTAAGGTCCCATTTTGATTTGCTATATACTCTGTGAAACTGTTAACAGAGTTGGTACAATTTCCAAACTCACTATGTCACTCAGGTGAAATTATTTTAAAATATCTCAGCCAAAACAATTCAGACATTTCCAAGAGTGAGATTAGGAAAAATTACATTATGTGATCATTTTATATTCTGGTAAATTCATCTCTGGAAGGGAACTGACATTTGATTCAGGGTAGTCCACATGTCAAAGTCTACTGTTGAACCCTTGAAAGTCGATCTCAATTTGCTCCAAATGGCAGTTTGTATTTGTTTATGAAATGTTTACTAGAGCTCTGCATACTAATAAATTCTCTCTAGTTTGAGCAGATTGCAAGACAGAGCTGCAGAATGACAGTGTTTTCCCTGAAACCTTTGTTATTGGATCTCCGAAGCCAAGAGTTCTCAATGACCACCACCTCCTTCTGCTGGCACCAGGAAGCATGAATAAGAGAACCTGATGAATTACTTACAGAAAAGAAAAAACTTGGAGGATGGGGAAATATTTGACCTATGAGTATGAGGGAGTTGAGATTGCAATGTTCTGGACAAAGAGACTAGAAAGCTAGAGGACAGCAGAGGCAATTAGAACTGCTTAAGACAAAGAGTTGGGCAGGGAAGCAAGGAAGAAAAAGCAGAGAGAAGATTCTGAACTAGTGAAGAAGAGAAACCAGAGAGGTAAGCAGAAGGCTGGGATGCAGAAGGAAATGGGGAGGGGGGG